ATGTGAAAAATTATTTTGGATTTTTCTTTATCTCTTGTATAGCTTTCTGTTCCAATTCCATTTCCTTAGACTCGTATGATCGCTTCAACGTTTGCTCTATTTCTTCGATCTCCCTGTTTAGGTTTATTTTCCTTTCTTGTGATAGTCGTGTCTTAGGCAGACACGACTATCACAATTATTATTTTTATCCTTCTCCTGTACAGTCGTCTGCGTTCTCTTTCTAGAGTGGTCCTCTCTCTGCCCCTCCTCACAGGCACATGCTTCAAGCAGACCTTGTAAGCTTCAGCTCTCAGTTGAGCTATTCCCTGTATGGGAGTTTTGTCGCTTAAGACCGTCTCCCATTGAATGGTTGCAAGGTCTACATTTATTTTTTCCCAGTCGATCCTCTTATTGTTGAAATTGAATTGATTGAATATTCCTTCTCGCTTGTTGGGTCTCTTAGACCTACTACCGTTATTTATGCTAGTTCGCACTTCAATGAGCTTATGGTCTGAGTATGAAGTATCTGAGATTGTAATGTCTCTGATTAGTTCATCGTTGTTTGTGAACAACAAATCGAGTGTGTTTTCGTTCCTAGTTGGTTCTGTAATCTGTTGATTGAGCGAGAATTTGTCACAGAATCTCAAAAGTTCTCTGACCTGTGGTTGATTATTTCCCGGGTCATTCCCTGCTATGATATTTTTGTTTGCCATTCTCCATCTTAGACTTGGTAAACTGAAATCTCAATGATTATATCTGGAGCTGGGTTTGCTAGATTATCAAGGATGTTCTCTATTTTGTGCATCTGCTCTGTGAATTCGTAAACCGTTGTATCTGGCGGTTTATATATTATAATAATAATTAGGTTTATTTTTTCTACCTTAATTCCAAGTACCTGTATCACCTCATAAGTCGAATTTAGTAGCTCTGTGCATACCAGGTCCTCTTTAATATACAGACCTACTCCTCCATTTGACCTAGTTTCTATATCACATCTATATAAATAGGGGGATACCACCTCTGGTGCAATTATAGGAGACCCACAGCCTCAAAGAAGGGAACACAGAGCATTCAGAGAAAAACTTGCCATTTAACTCTGAATACATATGAGCGCTTCTCCTACCACCCCCCCCCCCCCCTCCTTTTTTATGGTGTACACTTTATTATGCAAGGTTATACAGTTACATATCTGATTTATATAATCTGATCTGCTCTATATAAATTATAATTTGGAATCCAGATTTCACTATCCATGTAATCTTTAGTATCAGTTTCCATGAATGCCCCAAATATTGAGTTTGACTAACAGGAGGCCATTTATGAACTTGACTTTATTTTTTTATTCTGACTTTAGGCCTTGTATGTTTGCAAATATGAATGATTGTCCATATTGTGTGTCACTTCTGGAAGGTTTTGGTAGTTCTCCCTCCTCTCCACCGTGACCCAGGGTGTGCTAGTCTGGTAGTGGTACTGGGGAGTGTGGTAGTTTCTGTGTAGTTGGGCGGTGTAGTATGTTTGCGCTTGATGTCGAATTGTAGTCCAGTCTTGGTCATTTCCCCCTCCCCATCCGTACTCCTGCACGTATCTATGTCTGTTCCTCCCTCTGTTTTTGCCTGCCTCTAAAAAACACTTCTAGGACTATTATACTGGACTGTCTCTCGTATATAGCGCTGTGTTCCTCTGACGTGGAAATCAGGGCAATGAAGATCGTAGCATTTCCTTTCATTAACTGAGAGTTTGCATAACTTAGGGTGAAAACATCTACACCCTGTTCCAAAACATCTGCCCTTCCCTAACATGTTTCAGCATTTTCGGGGATGCGTGAATGTGCAATTCCGTGCCTCTGGTCCCATATCTGCACTATCTTTTGCATTATATCTGCAAATATTTTCATCTGTGCTTGTATTTTGGTTGTTTGGACCTCTGTTTTTTGTTCTAACTTTCTCGTTTCCGCATTCTTTCTCGGTATTGCCTTAAATCTTTCTCCATGTTGCTTTCATCTTTCTCATTTTTGTTCTCATCTCTCATTTTTTCTCTCCTTATTCATACTACCAGTTTGCTCTTCAATATTGCCTTCATTGTTGTGTACCTCGACACAATGTCCTTCATCATTGCTAGTTTGGCTCTCTAAACTCTCAGTTCCTGGGTTGTGTTCAGTGTTCGTTGCTGTCTTTACATATTCTACATACATTTCTGGTAGCTTTTGTGTCAATAGCAGCCTATGTGCTTCAGGAATGTCATTCATTAGTTAGTTGATGTTTTCCCATATTCATCTATCATTGTGACAGATCCAGTAGGTACCTTGTCTGTTTGCATAGTGTGTAGGTAATTCTGTACAACTCAGGTGAAATCTTCTGTTACAAATGCTACATACAATACCTACAACACTCCTCCGAAGTGACTTAAAGCAGCCTCCACACGTCTCCATGTTGGGTTTGTGGTGTAGAGGCTGACTGTTCCCCTATTTGTCATTTATTGTCGATTTATTCCTTGTCGACTTTAGTAATTTTACTATTTATAATATTTTATGAATATACTTATAATATTATATGTATGCCTATATAATATTATATGTATACAGTATATTTATAATATTATATATGTTTACTTGTTCAACTTTACGTGGAAGTACTTATCGCATGGTGGAGAAAATGGTCCCAGTGGGATGCAGTTGACTGTTGTTGTTCCAGGTCGCCCAGGTTCACTGTCAGGTGAACATGGGCATCATGTGAAGGCAATTCAATTCAATTTCTTTCATTATTATGCACCCCATACCCTTCCCGTAGGCGGTGGTGTAAAGGTTTACAAGAGGCACATAATCGGTTCAGGAACTGAACCCTCTAGTTCGTTTATCTAAGCAAATAACAATCTTTTGACGCTAGTTAAACAATTATTAATGTTATATATTTACATGTACACATACTCATACATACATGTACATATATATACACATATGCATACATACATACATATTCAATCACCTACACAAGTACACACATCAATAATCTTTTGTATCACAAGTTATTCAACAAGAGACTAAAAAGTCACTATTCAAGGCACTTTACATCTATGGTGAGTCACACAGTTACTAGTCTTGCTCCACACCCACCCAACTGGGCGGCAGCTTTACAGTCATGTGCTCCACACCCACCCAACTGGGCGGCAGCTTTACAGTCATGTGCTCCACATCCACCCAACTGGGCGGCAGCTTTACAGTCATATGCTCCACACCCACCCAACTGGGAGGCAGCTTTACAGTCATGTGCATGCATTACCTACAGTAAGCAAATTTTGGATACTTCGCTAAGATTTCGGGCAGCACATCATTATGAAATAAGTACTTACACACTTCTTGGACACCATTGATGGTGTTATCTCTGAATTTCGCGATTTTTACACATTCCATTATATAAATGACGCAAAGTATACGAATAGTTCTGCTGACAGAGTTTACATTTAGTTAAATCTACATCAGCAGATGTTACAAACTGCCAGAGGTACTTGTAGCCGAGCCTAAGCCTAGCTTTGGTAACATCTAAAAGTCTGCTAACATTATTGAATGACCCATAGACGTGCGGTACTTCCTGCATAATAGAATGATAGATGGAGTAACTGGTATGAATTTCACTTTGCCTCAAGTCTCCGAAATTTAGTTGATGTTCCCGGAATATTAGTGCCCTCAGGCTGCTCAAAGGCAGTCAAAGTTGGTAAATAATTCCCTCTTTACGAGCAAAAGTCTTGGCCAACTCATCAGTTCTCTCATGCATTCGGAGACCAATATGGGAAGGAATCCACAGGAGACAGACTCTGCAGCAGCTAATTTCTTTCTGCCTAGGTCGGGAATCGAACCCGGGCGCAGTGGGCAACGACTCCCGAGTGTCGGAATATAATCCAGCACTATGGAAGTACTTAAAATCCTGTTCCCTACACCGAGATGATACTAATTAGTGTTGTACCAGCAACTGTCTTTGCACTCAATTGTGTATTGAGGCTACGGCCGGTTTTACACAACCGGCTTTGAAGTCCCCTTCCACCCTCCCAGATAACCCCCCCCCCGAGCCCCCGCATCCATCCCATTTGATCTCTGCTCCCCCCCCCCCCACCCCTCTTCCTCCCCTCCCCCATCCTTCCCTTACCCCCACCCCTCCTCCCCCTTCTCCACAAAAACAACTGACTTACTTCATGCCTTCCAATAGTCGAACCTTTAATTTCATGCCAGTATTGAAGGAGGTTCCAGAACACTCCCAGTGGAGAGTGGTGGTGCTATAGACCCAGCGGAGAGCAGCAGTGACATAGACCCAATGGGTAGTAGAGGTGCCACAGACCCAATGGTGCCATACACCTAGTGAAGAAGAGATTTTTTTTTTTGCAGGTATATTTCTCCGCGGGCCCTAAGCCTCTGGCTGACCCACCAAGTGTTGCTTGTTTCTGTTTTACTTGGGCGGAGTATGAGTATTTATGACTCGTATGGTCGTTTCAGTAAGATTATGCCCCATGTGTTTAACAACAACTGCTCTGTTGAATCTACGTTAAAATCATATTTGGTTTGTAACTACGCACTGTGTTAGATAATGTCCCTGTGCCTAAATGTTCGGGCATGTCTCCACAGTGCTGACATTTCAGGAATACAGATGACAGGCCTAGTGAAGAGTAGAAATGCCACAGGCAAAGAGAAAAGAATCCCTGAATAACCATTAGACCCCGACGGCCAGTAGATACCGTGGCAAAAAGTGTAAGAAATGTTGACGGAAGACACGTGAAGGTTTTCAAGAGACAACAGACATGTTGCCGCAGGAAGTACTGAACACACCGGGATGTAGTGGCTCCGTGGGCCTGCGGGCCGCTCCCAGCTACAACCCCACGGAAGACGCTATCACCAAACAATGTACAAACAAGACTGGTATAAGGCGGTACCATTCTTGTACAGTAAGTAACTTAAGGAAGAGGGGGGGGAAGAGGGTTACAAAGTAAGGGGTATGTGTGGGTAGAGAAGAGGAGGGGGAAAGAGAGGGAAGTACGAAATGGAGGATCTGTGTTCGAGTGGGAGACATGTAGGTGAGGGAAGGAGGAGGGAGGTAGGGAAGGAGGAGGGAGGTAGGGAAGGAGGAGGGAGGTAGGGAAGGAGGAGGGAGGTAGGGAAGGAGGGGGAGGTAGGGAAGGAGGGGGAGGTAGGGAAGGAGGGGGGAGGTAAGGAAGGGGGAGGAAGGGAAGGAGGGGGAGGTAGGGAAGGAGGGGGAGGTAGGGAAGGAGGGGGAGGTAGGGAAGGAAGGGGGAAGAAGGGAAGGCAGGGAAGGAGGGGAAGGCAGGGAAGAGAGGAAAGACGTGGAGAGGAGACCAGGCAGGCAGAGGGAAGATGGCACCAGAGCCGCTGGAGTGAGCCAGGGAGAGGGAAGGTATATAAGCAGGTGACAGAACAGCAGCAGCAGCAGTCGGTGTTGTCGCCGTGTTCACAACACATCCTCTGGCTCGTCATGCTGGCTAAGGTTACTATCTCACGCCCCCACCTCTTATCTCTCTCTCTACACTCTGGAAAGACCTGGGTAAATACTGCTTTTGAAATATGGTCGGTCATTTATGGAACAAATTACCGGATAACATAATGGACGCGGAATCACTGGATTGTTTCAAGCGAAGGTTACACACACAATTGAGTTTAGATGGATATAAACAGGCGCTGCCTCATATGAGCCAATAGGCCTCCTGCAGCTGCCATTATTGCAACTTTATTAAATTCAGTTTGTCAACAAACTCAGAAATGGTAATTGCTATAGTAAATCCTAATGTCTTTAATGCACATAAGATTAAAATCTTATTTTTATATTTATCACAAGTATTCAACACTGACGTTTGTTGTATAAGAATTGTGAGACATGAATAATGTGAAATCGCATAACCACGAAGGGAAAATGAAACGAGAAATTACTTGAGCGCTTTCGTATAAATCGACAGGTCTTCAAAAGCATCAACAACGAGGTTATGAAAAGTAGAGATTAAGATTAAGCCACCCCAAGAGGCGGCATGGGCATGAATAACCCGTAAGAGAGTCACAGTACTTGAATATATATTAACAAATTGCAGTCTCCGTGGTGTAGTGGTAAGACACTCGCCTAGCGTTCCGCGAGCGCTATGTCATGGGTTCGCATCCTGGCCGGGGAGGATTTACTGGGCGCAATTCCTTAACTGTAGCCTCTGTTTAACGCAACAGTAAAATGTGTACTTGGATGAAAAAACGATTCTTCGCGGCGGGGATCGTATTCCAGGGACCATAGGATTAAGGACTTGCCCGAAACGCTACGCGTACTAGTGGCTGTACAAGAATGTAACAACTCTTGTATATATCTCAAAAAAAAAAAAAAAAAAAAAAAAAAAAAAAATCACAAGGGCCGTGATAAGTGTTCGAATTTACGTCCAGGATGACCTCAGACGCTGCCTTAATCGACTGAGCCATGACATGGTCAAAAGAATTGCAACCGGGATTGCTACTGCTCTCGCACGGATCCCGCAGTCTCTTCGAGACACAAACCGGGGTTTTACACAATACACAATTTTACATAATTCTGTCTCGGAAAGGCTGCGGGATCCGAGTGAGAGCAGTACGAATCCCAGTTGCAATTCCTTCGACCATGTCGTGGTTCAGTCGACTAAGGCAGCGTCTGGGATCATCCTGGACGCAAGTTCGAACCCTCATCACGGCCTTTGTGGATTTATTCATTCGATATATCACGCCATTGTGATTTCTGTGTCTCTTGAATATATAGGCTGGAAAATCTGACGTGTAAGGTGAAATATATATGTAACTATTTACGTCGCTAAGTTCATTATTACAGTTAAAAGAAACCAATATTAAACACTGCATTCTAATTGTAAGGCTTTCGACATGCTTCCGGTGCTTCAGTAAAGGAAAAAAACAAAATATTGACGCAGCACTTCAGATAGATGACTATTAACCTCGATGGGTTAGGTAGGTTGCTTAGGTTCGTACGTTCCTGCTCAGGCAAGACCAGTTCCAGGTTGACGCGAGTCAGGCCACAAAAATGGACTACTAAATTTCACTGGAGTTCTCGGTATATTACCGCCCTCAGGTAATCCAATATAGTTTAGTTCATTGTGCATCCCATAGCTATATCCTGTGAGTGATAGTGGACCCCATACCCATCCTGTGAGTGGTAGTGGGCCCCCATACCCATCCTGCGAGTGGTAGTGGGTCCCATACCCATCCTGTGAGTGGTGGTGGGTCCCATACCCATCCTGTGAGTGGTAGTGGGCCCCCATACCCATCCTGTGAGTGGTAGTGGGCCCCCATACCCATCCTGTGAGAGGTAGTGGGCCCCCATACCCATCCTGTGAGTGGTAGTGGGCACCATACCCATCCTGTGAGGTAGTGGGCCCCATACCCATCCTGTGAGTGGTAGTGGGCCCCCATACCCATCCTGTGAGTGGTAGTGGGCCCCCATACCCATCCTGTGAGTGGTAGTGGGTCCCATACCCATCCTGTGAGTGGTAGTGGGCCCCATACCCATCCTGTGAGTGGTAGTGGGCCCCCATACCCATCCTGTGAGTGGTAGTGGGCCCCATACCCATCCTGTGAGTGGTAGTGGGCCCCCATACCCATCCTGTGAGTGGTAGTGGGCCCCCATACCCATCCTGTGAGAGGTAGTGGGCCCCCATACCCATCCTGTGAGTGGTAGTGGGCCCCATACCCATCCTGTGAGGTAGTGGGCCCCATACCCATCCTGTGAGTGGTAGTGGGCCCCCATACCCATCCTGTGAGTGGTAGTGGGCCCCCATACCCATCCTGTGAGTGGTAGTGGGCCCCCATACCCATCCTGTGAGTGGTAGTGGGCCCCCATACCCATCCTGTGAGTGGTAGTGGGCCGCCATACCCATCCTGTGAGTGGTAGTGGGCCCCCATACCCATCCTGTGAGTGGTAGTGGGTCCCATACCCATCCTGTGAGTGGTAGTGGGCCCCATACCCATCCTGTGAGTGGTAGTGGGCCCCCATACCCATCCTGTGAGTGGTAGTGGGCCCCATACCCATCCTGTGAGTGGTAGTGGGCCCCCATACCCATCCTGTGAGTGGTAGTGGGCCCCCATACCCATCCTGTGAGAGGTAGTGGGCCCCCATACCCATCCTGTGAGTGGTAGTGGGCACCATACCCATCCTGTGAGGTGGTGGGCCCCATACCCATCCTGTGAGTGGTAGTGGGCCCCCATACCCATCCTGTGAGTGGTAGTGGGCCCCCATACCCATCCTGTGAGTGGTAGTGGGCCCCCATACGCATCCTGTGAGTGGTAGTGGGCCCCCATACCCATCCTGTGAGTGGTAGTGGGCCCCCATACCCATCCTGTGAGTGGTAGTGGGCCCCCATACCCATCCTGTGAGTGGTAGTGGGCCCCATACCCATACTGTGAGAGGTAGTGGACCCCATACCCATCCTGTGAGTGGTAGTGGGCCCCCATACCCATCCTGTGAGTGGTAGTGGGCCCTATACCCATCCTGTGAGTGGTAGTGGGCCCCCATACCCATCCTGTGAGTGGTAGTGGGCCCCATACCCATCCTGTGAGAGGTAGTGGGCCCCGTACCCATCCTGTGAGAGATAGTAGGCCTCATACCCATCCTGTGAGAGGTAGTGGGCCTCATACCCATCCTGTAAGAGATAGTGGGCCCCATACCCATCCTGTGAGAGGAAGTGGGCCCCATACCCTTCCTGAGAGAGGTAGTGGGACCCATACCCATCCTGAGAGAGATAGTGGGCCCCATACCGATCCTGTGAGTGGTAGTGGGCCCCCATACCGATCCTGTGAGTGGTAGTGGGCCCCATACCCATCCTGTGAGTGGTAGTGGGCCCCATACCCATCCTGTGAGTGGTAGTGGGCCCCATACCCATCCTGTGAGGAGCAGCAGTATTGAAGTCGGCGTTCAATCCCCGACCGTCCAAGTGGTTGGGCACCATTCCTTTCCCCCGTCCCATCCCAAATCGTTATCCTGACCCCCTTCCCAGTGCTACATAGTCGCAATTGCTCGGCGTTTTCTCTTGATAGTTTCATTCCTAAGGTCCAAATACTCTACTGCGATGATTTTCAAATCAAACAACTTGCATTTTAACCAGACCTCACACTAGAAGGTGAAGGGACGACGACGTTTCGGTCCGTCCTGGACCATTCTCAAGTCGATTGTCCAGATTGAGAATGGTCCAGGACGGACCGAAACGTCGTCGTCCCTTCACCTTCTAGTGTGTGGTCTGGTCAACTTACATCTGTGGTACGGTAATATGGTATTTATCTGTCTATCATGGACGCACCCGTCGAATTGACGTTGTGTACTGTTTACTTTGTAGACGGCACGAGGAAATGACATTCCTAAGCCTAATAATGCACACACGTGATACTTTATTAGGTTTAGGATTGCTGGGACAGGTTTGGCTGGGATCTTTACTTTTCCTATTTTCATCTATTTTGGCAAATCTAATAATGCAAAACGTGAACTTTTAGGAGTCCAACAGTCTATTTTTGTACGTTTGACCAAATAGATATATTTATAAATAATGATATTTATAAATATAAATATCATTATAAATATAGGTACTACCGTTATAAAGATATAGGTGCTATCGTCATAAAAAGATATAGGTACTATCATTCTAAATAGATATAGGTACTATCATTCTAAATAGATATAGGTACTATGATTTTAAATGGATTTAGGTACTGTCGTTATAGATATAAGTACTATCATTAGAAATATAGATACAATCGTTATGAACATATATAGGTTCTATCGTTATTGGATGTGTTGTATATAGTCACTCTTGCTTATCACTTTATCCTGATTATTACCTTATCTTGCTACTTAGTCAGATATTTAACTGCCTAAATAAACCTACAAAGGTTAAAGGTCCTAAAGCCCAACTACAATGGTCCAAAAGACCTTTTTTACAGTTTCCTCTTATAGTTTTATGGTCTACTCCATAATATTTTTGTCACGTTTACAGGTTTCTCTGGTGCTGAGCCTGACGGCTGTGGTCATGGGCGTGGCTGTGGGCGTGGCTGTGGGCGTGGCTGTGGGCGTGGCTGTGGGCGGAGCGGGGAGACAGCCTGCTCTTTCTCGGCATCCTAGACACGTTGCTGCTTCACCCAACCCGTCCCACACGCAGGTGGGGTTCCTTGGCCACAATGAGAGTGAGAGAAAGTGAGAGAAAGAGAGAGAGAGAGAGAGAGAGAGAGAGAGAGAGAGAGAGAGAGAGAGAGAGAGAGAGAGAGAGAGAGAGAGAGAGAGAGAGAGAGAGAGAGAGAGTGAAAGGTGCTGGGGTAGAGATGAAGGCACAAGATTTATGTTTGCATTTTAAGCCTCATGACAGTCGCATAAAACACATACGAGAACACACACTTTAAAGTGATGGAATACTTCATGTGATTCTGACTATTATTCAAAACAGCAAAAATAAGAACGTAAGAGTAAATGAAACTGCTGAAGGATCCTAATAGACGATGGATCCCTCGATTGTCGCCACAACTACTGGGAGCTCTGTCACACAGGAGTCGACCTTTACACACAGCTCCTGGGAGCTCTGTCACACAGGAGTCGACCTTTACACACAGCTCCTGGGAGCTCTGTCACACAGGAGTCGACCTTTACACACAGCTCCTGGGAGCTCTATCACACAGGAGTCGACCTTTAAACACAGCTCCTGGGAGCTCTGTCACACACATGAGTCGACCTTTAAACACAGCTCCTGGGAGCTCTGTCACACATGAGTCGACCTTTAAACACAGCTCCTGGGAGCTCTGTCACACAGGAGTCGACCTTTAAACACAGCTCCTGGGAGCTCTGTCACACAGGAGTCGACCTTTAAATACAATTATAAGCAGCAAAGCCGAGTGGCATGTCTTGACAATTCACCAACAGCCTCGTGGACCACAATACTAATAGCTCTATGACACGAGTCTAAATCCGTACAAAATTTACAATATCATTTCAAAGTAAGATGCTACATAGCCTTCCCAGTTTGGTACCTTCTATTGATAATTATTTACTTCAGAGTAAGAATGGAATAACTGCACAAAATTTAACTATATACAAAGACCCATTTTCGTCGGTAATCTCTTCCAATGTTACCTTGAGGTTACCTTGAGGTGCTTCCGGGGCTTAGCGTCCCCGCGGCCCTGTCGTCGACCAGGCCTCCTGGTTGCTGGACTGATCAACCAGGCCGTTGGACGCGGCTGCTCGCAGCCTGACGTATGAGTTACAGCCGGGTTGATCAGGTATCCTTTGGAGATAGCGATGTAGTAGATAGTATATGTAGTAGATGTAGTAGATAGTAGATGTTACTGAAAGATAGCGACCAGTCTCAAGAACAAACACCAGAACCACCAAGAGGAGAAACTAGAATATTTCAATTCATTCTCCTAAAATTTTAGTGCTTAAAGTAACATTTTAATCCAAAATACCAATTATGTGGTGATGGACCACTGAAAAGTTACACATTTTGTACTTATAATTTTATGAGAGTCTGAGACAAAAAAAAAGGTTAGAGCCAAACTTAAAACATTCCTAGGCTTAGTATACACATATACATACTATATGTAGGCTTAAGGCAGCGTATATTAGGTCTGAAATTGCTGCGACAGGTTAGGTTGGGTCCTTTGGTTTCAATTCATATTAAAAATAACGCCATTTGGGCTAATTCAGTAATACAAAATGTAATTTTGTAAAATACAAAATTAATATTTTGTAAAATACAAAAAATAATAATAAAATAAAAAATACAAAAATGACGGAACACTATATGCTGGCACTGTGTGTGGCTGGAACACTACATGCTGGCACTTTGTGTGGCTGGAACACTACATGCTGGCACTTTGTGTGGCTGGAACACTACATGCTGGCACTGTGTGTGGCTGGAACACTACATGCTGGCACTGTGTGTGGCTGGAACACTACATGCTGGCACTGTGTGTGGCTGGAACACTACATGCTGGCACTTTGTGTGGCTGGAACACTACATGCTGGCACTTTGTGTGGCTGGAACACTACATGCTGGCACTTTGTGTGGCTGGAATACTACATGCTGGCACTTTGTGTGGCTGGAACACTACATGCTGGCACTTTGTGTGGCTGGAACACTACATGCTGGCACTTTGTGTGGCTGGAACACTACATGCTGGAACTTTGTGTGGCTGGAACACTACATGCTGGCACTTTGTGTGGCTGGAACACTACATGCTGGCACTTTGTGTGGCTGGAACACTACATGCTGGCACTTTGTGTGGCTGGAACACTACATGCTGGCACTTTGTGTGGCTGGAACACTACATGCTGGCACTGTGTGTGGCTGGAACACTACATGCTGACACTTTGGACCAAATACGTGCATTAAGTTCTATCATTTTATGATGAATGGCTGGAATACCAACTGAGAACCAATTTATTTATTTACTTATATATATACAAGAAGGTACATTGGGATTGTGAGGATACATAGTACAGTAATTACAATCTTGTAAAGCCACTAGTACGCGCAACGTTTCGGGCAGAACACTCATTACTATTACTGCACGACCACACTCACGGGCTCCCGCAAGTTACTCATCACACACTAACGACGCCCTTGAGTAACTCCCGAGTGTCTCTCCAGGAGGGCGGAGGCTACAACTTCCAGTACGGGGTGACGGACGACTTCGCTGGCGCCCACTTCGGCCAGGACGAGACCTCCGACGGACACCTCATCAAGGGCTCCTACTACGTCGTCCTCCCCGACGGACGACTTCAAACCGTAACTCAACTGTGGTTTATTTTTTTCAAATTCAAAATTCAAAAATCAGTTTAAATTTTCTGTTTTAATCCACTCTCATTGTCTTCGTTTCTGTTTTAATCCACTTTCACTGTCTTCGTTTCTGTTTTAATCCACTAACGTCTTGCTGTTTACAAACAGGTTTTGCTGTTTTTATGCTAAATATATATATTTTTTGTTCTTGGAAACTGCGTCAATTGATTAGCGATATGTATTTCTCACAAGTTTATTTTATATGTAGTTAACAATATATGTAGAAACACTGAGAGGTATGTAAGCAGCTTTCTCAGTGTATATACAATTAGAATTAATTTACGTACACTCACTAGAAAGTGAAGGGACGACGACGTTTCGGTCCGTCCTGGACCATTCTCAAATCGATTGGCGACTTGAGAATGGTCCAGGACAGACCGAAACGTCGGCGTCCCGTCACTTTCTAGTGTGTGATTTGGTCAACATATTTCAGCCACGTTGTGACTCCTCGTCTGCACAAGAATTAATTTAGTCTCGGACAATGTTCAGGACAAAAGTATTCTTGTTGGTTGGTCAGTAAGGTATTGTAATGGTCTTAATAACCCTACTACAAGGGTTCTTAAACTTAACCCAAACAACAACACCTGATGAATGTCTTTGCCTGCGTCATGGCTAAGTAAATCCAACTCGTCCCATCCCAACCGAATCAAAGAGATGAAGTGTGTGAAGTGTGAAGAGATACGGCGTGCACGTGTTTTATACGGCGTGCACGTGTTATATAGGGCGTGCACGTGGTGTGTGACGTCACAGTCCCGTCACAACACAGGTACCGGAGCCTGCCGGTTCATACAACAATTTTGTCTCATCCATTTTAGGCTCGACTAAACATCGCACATGTTACAGCTTCTGGAAATGGGTTACAGATACATTTGTGGTTGACATAAATGAGTGTTGGGGGTTCTTGCACAAATGTACCATTTAACCCTCCGACTGCTCAATCGATTTTATTATGCCACACTTTGGGGGCCGCATAAAATAAATTGCTCTGAAAAAAAAAAATCATTTGTTCTTCTAACATTGTTAATTAGCATACAGCAAGGAAAAATTGCCATTTTTTTTTCTTTAGTTAAAATGAGGTGCCGCCCAGCACGGTAATAACTTTGTTGATTTAGTTTCATTATTTCTCTATTTATATAGTTTTTGGTTGTAACAAGTTATACTCATGTGTCAAAAATGGGGTTCATTAGACATAACTTAAAATATATGTATGTACAGATATATGCAGGCGATGAGTCACAATAACGTGGCTGAAGTATGTTGACCAGACCACACACTAGAAATTGAAGGGACGACGACGTTTCGGTCCGTCCTGGACCATTCTCAAGTCGATTGACTGGGATGCTCCCGGATGCAGGTTCGAATCCCCGTCACGGCCCTTCTGGATTTGTTCATTTGATGCATCACGTTAGTGTGATCTCTGTGTGAAACTGTTGGATACAGATACAGATATATGTGTATAAATACGCACTCACCATGTATTTATTCATACTAATTATATATTCCCAATTGCTTCTGAGACACTCGGCGCCTGGAGTAAGAGTGCCACCAGTTTTTTTTTAAGGAACTGGGTTCTAGGCTCATTGAAACAACAAGAGACCCTAGAGCTGCCAGTTTCCTTTTCCAGCACCTCAGCGTGGCGATACAGAGGGGAAATGCACACTGCTTTCAGGATTCCTGTCCGACAACTGAGGAGCTGGAGGAATTCGACAACTTATGATAATCATCCTTGTACCCCTACATGTAACTTTTTTTTGGTAACAAAGTTTAAAATATATATATATATATATATATATATATATATATATATATATATATATATATATATATATATATATATATATATATATATATATATATGTCGTACCTAGTAGCCAGAACGCACTTCTCAGCCTAATATGCAAGGCCCAATTTGCCTAATAAGCCAAGTTTTCATGAATTAATTGTTTTTCGACTACCTAACCTACCTAACCTAACCTAACTTTTTCGGCTACCTAACCTAACCTAACCTATAAAGATAGGTTAGGTTAGGTTAGGTAGGGTTGGTTAGGTTCGATCATATATCTACGGTAATTTTAACTCCAATAAATTTTTTTTTACCTCATACATAATGAAATGGGTAGCTTTATCATTTCATGAGAAAAAAATTAGAGAAAATATATTAATTCAGGAAAACTTGGCTTATTAGGCAAATCGGGCCTTGCATAGTAGGCCGACAAGTGCATTCTGGCTACTAGGTACGACATATATATATATATACTTATATATAAGCTAGGCAACTGTTGGTATGTAGATTGTATCCTGTGGAAGGTCAGTAGTTGATCTAGGGAACCTTACACCTGATGCACCTGTTCACCTAGGAAGGTGGGAGAATAAACACGGAGAGTCAGGCTTCCTGTCTCCGAAAACGGAAATTGAAATTAAGAAACATTACTAATGTTATCCCTAATGTATAACACGTTTTCTCTATTACACGATGCGTTTTCTTCAACACACACACAGGCACGCGCGCACAAACACACGCACACGCACGCGCACACACACACACACACACAAACCATTTCTCTAATATTTACAGTCTCTATTTCTCTAATATTTACATAACGCGATGTCTCACATGTTTACACATCACGTTTTCTCTAAACTCGTACACCACTTTTTTGATAAACAGACATAAGGTGAGTAAACAGAAGGTCCCCACTTAGCGCTCAATAACAAACAACCGCTAACCAGTTAAAATTGTTCCGTTACTATAATTTGTTAAGAGAAATAGGCAATAAACTCCGCACCATATGACCAAACCATTACAACAACACTTGACAAAAACAATATTTAAAATACACATGAAAATGTTTACGGCTGTTAACGTGGATTATTAAGTAAACCACACTAAATGTTACTAAAAATTATGATAACGCCTTATAAACTGTTAGATGAACAAATCCACAAGGGCCGTGACGAGGATTCGAACCTGCGTCCGGGAGCATTCCAGACACTGCCTTAATCGACCGAGCTACGACAGGGTAAAAGAGTTGAAACAAACCTCTCCGAGGTTTGTGCCTTGGAGAGGCTACGGGATCCAGTAAGTTCAGTAAGACTTCGGTTTCAACTCTTTTTACCCTGTCGTAGCTCAGTCGATTAAAGCAGTGTCTGGGATGCTCCCGGACGCAGGTTCGAATCCTCGTCACGGCCCTTGTGGATTTGTTCATTTGATGCATCACGTTAGTGTGATCTCTGTGTGAAACTGTTAGATAAAACAGAATCCTTAAACCCTCCACGGGTGAAGTGCCGTGATGACCAGACCACACACTAGAAGTTGAAGGAACGACGACGTTTCGGTCCGTCCTGGACCATTCTCAAGTCGATTTGATGTACCAGGACGAATCGAATCAAGTCGAATCGACTTGAGAATGGTCCAGGACGGACCGAAACGTCGTCGTCCCTTCAACTTCTAGTGTGTGGTCTGGTCAACATACTTCAGCCACGTTATTGTGACTCATCGCCTGCAAGTGCCGTGATATTGGCTACTGGGGGATGTGGAGTGTGATGCCGAGGAATTGTAAACTGCTACTACATGTAAACTCCCCACAGGTAACTTACCAGGCCGACCACACTATGGGCTTCGTGGCGGATGTGGAGTTTGATGGGGAGGCGCTGCACCCAGTGTCCCCGAGCAGCGACCCCCGGCCCTTCACCATCAAGCCCAGCACCCGACCACTGCAAGGCTCTCTCCACCTCCTCCCACTACCTGAACACCCTCCGGCACACTACTAGGACCCTCCCCAACTGTTCCGGCTCCCCTCATTGACTAGCAGGACCCTCCCCTCCATCTGTTGTTGTTGTTTAAGATTCAGCTACCAGGAACAAAAAGTTCCAAGCAGCACGGGCTATGGTGAGCCCGTATTGAACTTACCTGGCACGGGAGTGGGGCTGTAATTCGCCCAGGAATAGTATGGTAACGCTCCCTCCATCTGTTTAAGGTCCCCCCTCATACTTCTATGATCCCCCTCCCCCCCTCTCCACACCGGTCTCTGTATGCGACACTCCGAAAATGATACAACTGCTTTGCCTAAGCAGAAACGTACAAACCCAAGCAACCCACCTAACCTAATGGAGTCATTTCATTGAAAACGTCAAAGTTATGGTGCTTTAATGTGTACTAATACTTCGCATTTTCAACGGAATCGTCAATGTCGTTATAAATGCCATGTATTAAGTGATAGGCCGGGTTGGTTAGCTCAGACATTATTATTCCTAGTCCGTGTAGCAGTGGTTGTGGTCTTAGTAGTGACTAGTAGTAGTATTAATAGTTGTAGTAGTGTAAATAGTAATAGTAGTAGTAGTAGTAGTAATATAAATAATAATAGCAGCAGGAACACTATACACATTTAATAGCTTTAGACATGTCCTTGGAGAACATAGACATGGCTTTATTATGTTACTATGATGTAAATAGTGATTATTAGGAGGGTGAAGATATAAGGAGGCCTCAGCCTCGTAGTCCAGTTATAATCGTGGTTACAAGGAGGTAAAAGTATCCGTGGCCTCCACACTTAGAATCTGAGCGGTGTACTACACATGCAAGTGTGGCTCCAGATCAAACATCATGTCAAACACTCGTGTTTACTACACACAACCTCCCAAACATGAGGTCCAGTTTGTAACACAGTGGTCACGCATTTAACGATTCAAGGTTAGATTCCCCAGGCGGGATTGAGACGATTGGGCAAGTTTCCTTTCACCTGATGTTTCTGAAGAGGTGCTCGCCCACATGTTGGTTATAAGGTGCTAAATGAATTATATAAATAATACGATCTCCTTAAGAATTCACCGATAAACTTTATAAATCACCAACATCTTTTATTCTTCACAAACATATACAAAAATGGAATAAAAAAAAATGGAATATGTAAGTATATTAGAACCCGGATGAACGAAACATTCTGCATATTGGTGGCTTTATATAACGTACATTTCTTAATTACATACTTTTCACTATCATCTTTAAAATGTATATACTTTTATACTAAAATTATTATTATTTTTATCCTCCAGCTGTTAAATCCAGAATAGCATAGTATGTGATAATGGTTTGCACTACGACTACGTTTTCTGGGTGATGTGGTGAGGACGAACCGTAGACTGTGGTAGAATGACAAGAGACGCGTGAAATTAGCTTTATAGTCTAGCTAGAGACCAGAAAATAAGCTGGGATACGAGGGAGAGAGGTGCGAGGTGGCCTAGAATATTATGTGGGTCCCTGGGAATTTATATTAAAACGTATAAATGCAAAATATTATTTTCTTTACTTTTAACGTATATGATATTATATATCATATATATATATATATATATATATATATATGTCGTACCTAGTAGCCAGAACGCACTTCTCAGCCTACTATGCAAGGCCCAATTTGCCTAATAAGCCAAGTTTTCATGAATTAATTGTTTTTCGACTACCTAACCTACCTAACCTAACCTAACTTTTTCGGCTACCTAACCTAACCTAACCTGTAAAGATAGGTTAGGTTAGGTTAGGTAGGGTTGGTTAGGTTCGGTCATATATCTACGTTAATTTTAACTCCAATAAAAAACAATTGACCTCATACATAATGAAATGGGTAGCTTTATCATTTCATAAGAAAAAAATTAGAGAAAATATGTTAATTCAGGAAAACTTGGCTTATTAGGCAAATCGGGCCTTGCATAGTAGGCTGAGAAGTGCGTTCTGGCTACTAGGTACGACATATATATATATATATATATATATATATATATATATATAAATTCATTGTCATTCATATTCACATAAATGTGAATGTGTGAGGTTAGAACACCTAGTGTAACATGTCAGAAGTATTCCTAATGAAAATATAACTTAGGTGCAAATGGATTCAATATGGAGGACACTAAGAACTTGTACCATACATGTCCAACAATGTTCATCTTGTTGTTACATCTCACATCAACAACGTTGTTACATCTACATCTCATCTTGTTGAACAACATCTCTGTTGTTACTATCTGTTGTTACATCAATTTTAACAACCTAAAATTGCAGATCGGCCCATGCGAGGCAGTACCTATTTATACTTCGCCGCACTCACATCGTATTATTCTGGTTTAAGCATAGATATGTTAACTCTGTTTTCTATAAACATTTGTGAAAACGCAGGTGGTGTTGAAACACTATACCAGTATTGAAACCAGCGCGTCCTCACAAAGGCTAAAATCCATTCCGTGCACCTGCCAATCCCCCCCCCCCTACCCTGTCTATAAATGAAAATCGGTTTACACACGACTCAACTGATGACGTCCGATCACTTCCAGAACAAATACGGGGTTACAGCCCCGCTCCTGTGCCAGGTAAATCCACTACGGGCTCGCCATAGCCCGTGCTACTTGCAACTTTTTGTTCCAAGTAGTTGAATCTAAAACAACAGCAACTGGAACAAGTGCTTCGCTGACTTTTGTTCGAACCACAACGCCATAAATGCTTCACCCACGTACTACAAATACAAATAATCGCCAACAGTACCTAAACACCTAGCCTAACCAATGCCTAAATATGCACAATATTTTAACATATATGAGAAAATTCCTGTTCTGAATACACAGAATGTTAAAATTTATGAATGCTTCTCTGAGGTCAATGGAATGAACTTGGTCTGACGACGGGTCGGTTGAAACACTTAACCAGTGTTGAAACAAGTGTACTTCAAATTACTACTACTCCATCCATACCTATGAACAAATGTCCGAAAACAACCTAACTACACAAATTAATTTGAGAAGAATTACTTTTGTGGGAGAAGTAACTGTTCTCACCTCTCTGACCCCCCCCCCTATTCTCGTCCAGCTACTTATTTCCCCCCCCCCCCTTATCCGGCTCCTTATCTCCTCTTGTTTCTTGTATTAAGAACAGAGGAGCAAGAGAGCACGGCATGTCTGTTAGGCCATGTTAGGGGGGACTCTTGTAAACCCATCACTCCCTCCCTCCCGCCCTCTCACCCACACAATGGATACATTAACCTATCTATCTATTCTACAAAACTCATTATAAACTGCTAGTCTCAATAACATTGGCATTGCACTCACCTACGACCATATTTCTATTGCACTCACCCACGACCATATTATCGTTCTTGAAACTAAATTCTTAATAGTAACAAAAACCCCGTTTATATTTCCATTGCCCATTTATAAACCTATATAATGTACAAGAGTAACATCATACACGAAACGACTCGCCAAGGGATTTTAAAACCTAGTTAATCTTACAACACAATCTAACTGTACTTAACTTAATCCACCCGAGCCTAAAACTGGCTAAACTAGGCTAATACATCCTATACTAACGAGACATGCGGTTTTAACAAACTGAAAACGAATTGTGTCGAATCGCCGAGTGGACGATTTGACCATCTCCCTCGTCCGGCGTCGCTCTGCCCCCACGGCGTCCCTCTACACCCGCGGCGTCAACTCTACACCCGCGGCGTCAACTCTACACCCGCGGCGTCAACTCTACCCCCGCGGCGTCAACTCTACACCCGCGGCGTCAACTCTACACCCGCGGCGTCAACTCTACACCCGCGGCGTCAACTCTACACCCGCGGCGTCAACTCTACACCCGCGGCGTCAACTCTACACCCGCGGCGTCAACTCTACACCCACGGCGTCAACTCTACACCCACGGCGTCAACTCTACACCCACGGCGTCAACTCTACACCCACGGCGTCAACTCTACACCCGCGGCGTCCCTCTACACCCACGGCGTCCCTCTACACCCACGGTGTCCCTCTACACCCGCGACGTCCCTCTACACCCACGGCGTCCCTCTACACCCGCGACGTCCCTCTACACCCACGGCGTTCCTCCACACCCGCGACGTCCCTCTACACCCACGGTGTCCCTCTACACCCGCGACGTCCCTCTACACCCGCGGCGTCCCTCTACACCCGCGGTGTCCCTCTACACCCGCGGTGTCCCTCTACACCCGCGGTGTCCCTCTACACCCGCGACGTCCCTCTACACCCGCGACGTCCCTCTACACCCGCGGCGTCCTTCCACACCCGCGACGTCCCTCTACACCCGCGGCGTCCTTCCACACCCGCGGCGTCCTTCCACACCCGCGGCGTCCTTCCAGACCCGTGGCGTCCCTCTACACCCACGGTGTCCCTCTACACCCGCGACGTCCCTCTACACCCGCGACGTCCCTCTACACCCACGGCGTCCTTCCACACCCGCGGCGTCCTTCCACACCCGTGGCGTCCCTCCACACCCGTGGCGTCCCTCCACACCCACGACGTCCCTCTACACCCGCGACGTCCCTCTACACCCACGGCGTTCCTCCACACCCGCGACGTCCCTCTACACCCACGGCGTCCCTCTACACCCGCGGTGTCCCTCTACACCCGCGACGTCCCTCTACACCCACGGCGTTCCTCCACACCCGCGACGTCCCTCTGCACCCACGGTGTCCCTCTACACCCGCGACGTCCCTCTACACCCACGGCGTTCCTCCACACCCGCGACGTCCCTCTACACCCACGGCGTCCCTCTACACCCGCGGTGTCCCTCTACACCCGCGACGTCCCTCTACACCCACGGCGTCCTTCCACACCCGCGGCGTCCTTCCACACCCGCGGCGTCCCTCTACACCCGCGGCGTCCCTCCACACCCGCGGCGTCCCTCCACACCCGCGGCGTCCTTCCACACCCGTGGCGTCCCTCTACACCCGCGGCGTCCCTCCACACCCGCGGCGTCCCTCCACACCCACGGCACACATCCCCACAAACATTTATAATAAGTTGCGGATATTAAATCCACTTTAGCTATAACTCTTTATATTAAGGAACACTTCGT